TTTTGCTGTGCAGGCTAACTTTGAGTGAAATTCTTGGGTGTTTGTTGGCTTAGCTAATTCACTTTATGGCTAACTGTATAGTGTTGGCATCTCCTGCCTTTATATTTTTCTTTTTTTTTTTTAAATGTTATTTTAGTTTTATTTTTTCCTGAATGAAGTGTGCTTTTAAAAGCAAAGTCCACAACAACTCAATGACAGAAGCATCATAAAAAGATTTTACGACACAGCAGCAGTGTTGTATTTATATTGAAGAGTGCAGGTATACATAAAAGCATTGTATGTGATGTACTAAAGGTTTAAAAAAAAAGATAGAGAGAGGCTTTATCTAGTAACTGTGACTTAATGTCTCATAATAAATAATGAAATAGCATCACTGGCTGTGACAAAGTGATTAGGCATGAACTCATTTACCACTTGTCCCTTAACCATATGGATAATTTATTTCCTTGTTATTATACAGTCAACCATAATGCTTTATTTTAGACATTGCTGGTTTAACTTTGCTTAACACACTATCCTGGGTTTGTTTGTGGTAGCAGTAGTTACATTCATTATATCAATGCATATGTTTTTTAAAGCAAACACTACTAACTAGTGATGGCCCGCTTGAAGCTGAAGCTCCGGTGCGTGTGTCAAAAAAATCAACACACTGCTTCAGAAGCACTGTGTCGAAGCTTGATTCGTTTAGCCAGAGTCACATGATCAGTGACGTCCGAAGCTTCATTTAGAACCTAACTGCTTCGGTAGCTGATTCAATGGTTTATAAGGAAGTGAATCATTCGCAGGATTTGTGGAGTGTTTTGATGGTGACAGATAGCAAACCACTGATCATTCCACTGAGAGATTTGGAGCCAGCAAGGAATAGAGGAGGTTCTGTTGTGTGGGAGAATTTTGAGTTGATTTTTGTCAATCGGGTGGGTTTTCCAGCTTTGTGTTCTGGTCATTTGCTTTTGTTTTGTGCGTGTTTATTATATCTGAAAACGGGGAAAAAGGTAAAATGTCAAAAATCTGCTTCCATAATATAAATATCATTAAAGAACTATAGAAAAACTTCCACTTGACTCTTTGCATGTAATGTTGTAAAAATATATATTTTATTGTTTAATTAATCTGAAAATGTTAGTCTGCCAAATGTGCAGCAATTGGATTTATTTATTCTCTTTAGCTGATAGTTTGTGTGGCCCAGGTAGACTGTATAACTGCATCTCTACCAGTTTCGGTGCGCTCCAGCCTCTTCTGGTCCATGTGAGGGGATTTTCCTTAAGGCAGGAGAAATTATCGCCACGAAAAGGAACAGGTTCGGCCATTGCACAGTGGAACAAATTCTCTTCTTAAATAAAAATGAAAAAGGGCTGCTTTAAATGCATCATGTTTTTAATTTGCAAGTTCATAAGCATTTTCCCTTTCCAGTTCACAATCAATTCTACCCCCAGGTCAAAAATATGTCTGGGAAAATTTCCTTAATATAATATTATTTATATATATACCTTTCTAGCGGTTAATTGCATAAGTGCATGGAGGCAGGACCTCACAGCAGAAGCATACTCCATAATGTGTTGTACATTATCATATGTATATTATATGTAATGTGGTATTTTTCAATTATTGTATTTACCAACATCAAGAACTCACAAGCAAAGAAAGACCACACAATGGTGCATGTTTAAACAAGGAGAGTTTACTGGTCAAAATTATTTATTAAACAAATAAACCACTTTTTTTTTTTTTTAACCACCAAAAAATACACGTTCAAAGCAACACAATGGCGGCCCAATATCAGACAGAATTCCACTCTGTAGAGTG